GGTCTGATGGTGACTGTTTAACCGTGGAAAGGGGTTAAAGAGAATTTGAGGACAAGGTGACTTAAATCAAACAGAGCCTCGTAACTAGATCTTAGCATTCTCAACTGAACCTTCATCTACACTGGGATGTAGTAAGAGAAGGACATTGATTATTATTAAAGATCTGAGGCCCTGTCTTGCGCCCAATATTAAGGGAGCCCAGTGCCACGGAAGGGCATAAGAGGTATTCTGCGGATGTTTGAGAACTCATGGAGATGAGTCTAGCTTTGTTCAGGAGGCACTGTAAGCATTAGATGTCTGTGTGCTTTCCTTCATGCCTGCTTCTAGCTAAAAATAGAGCCAGCATTGCAACAGGTGTTTCCTTTCACAAATGCAGATATATGTATTTTCAAAGACTGATCATGGAGCACAAGGTAATTTTGTTTCATTTGTCAAACCAGAGGTAATTGGGTTCTTGGAAATGCAGGAGGAGAAACAAGCGAATAGATTCTGTACAGTTCACCTTTCCTGTTTATATTATTCGTGTCCATTAGGGAGAACAGAAATTTCCTCGCAGGCCAGTGTACTTGGAAGTGTGAGTACAACTTTGACTGGCCATTTGAGCCTCACACGTTTCAGTTGTTCCTTTTTCTGAAACAACACTCTTGCAGAGCTTAAAACACGTTGGCATCTTGGGCAGAAAATCTAGACCGTGCTCTGCTGACAGGAGAAAAACATATATTTTAATTTCAAGTGGAATAGGAGGTTGCAGTTGCTTAGTTCTTGCCTTCTCACTGCCCTTACAATCTGTGTCCTGAGGCACTTTGCCTCAGAGGAGAGTGAGGAAGTTGACAGACATGGGATTATGTGGCACTGTGGGTTACAGTGAACTCCCCAGCAGGGGTGGAGGAAGGGGAATGTGGTGGGGGCGGGCTGCCCCGGGTGTCCTCACTGAGGGGGGTGACAAAATGGCGGGCGGCACTCACCGCGGGGCCTGCAGCACGCCCGAGCCGCACCTCTCTCCTGGGAGTGACATGGTGGCTTGGGCGCACGCAGGCTCCGCACTGCCCCAAATGGTCTGCCCGCTGCCTCCCCTCAGCTGTAGGGCAGCTGAGTGGGAGGAAGCAGGTAGACTCCTCAGAGACCCTGCAAAGCATCCTGCCCTGGCTGGCCCCACCCAGTGGGCAGCTGGCCCGGCTCTTGAATGCACGGCTGCCCCAGGCGACTGATCGACTTGTTCCGTCGCTGCTCCCCAGACCCCAGTGAGAAACATCGGGAGATTTATGCCTCATTTTCTCCCTATCCCCTGCCTGAACCTCTCCCATCATGGGTGTAACCAGAAACCCCAGGGGTAGGGATTATTAGGGAGGTATTGTCTTTGCTTGTTACTACGTTTGTTACTATATTTGTGCGTTTTTATATTGCAAACCACCCTGTGATCCTTGAATAAAGGATGGTATACAAAATTAACTAACATAATGATAATATATCTATATCTATATCTATATCTATATCTATATCTATATCTATATCTATATCTATATCTATATCTATATCATCTATATCTATATCTATATCTCTTTATTGCAGTCCATAGACCCACAAAACAGTTTCAAAACAAGATACAGTTAAGACAACCAAACAACAGGTGAAAAAGACTGATAATGATAATGATGATGATGATAGGGATCAGGGAGAAATGCAATTCAGTTTGCATTTAAAGATGAACCTATCTAATTTGCACCAGAATGGTCCAAATGAATGATGGTTAAAGTATGATTCAGCTGCCAGTCTGGTGGGCTTCTGCATGTGGAATTGGAAGGGGGGTGCCATTTTGAGTTTCACGTCATGCAGCAAAATAGTCTGGGTTGGTCCTGAATCAGCTTTGGACAGCTTTATAGCCAATATCACTATCTAGGGTGGCCTCCCTACAAGAAAGCTTGCAGTCCTCTCTTCTACCTACCTCTTCTACCTCTCTTCTAAACATTAGGAAGAACTTTCTGACAGTAAGAGCTGTTCGACAGTGGAATTTGCTGCCAAGGAGTGTGGTGGAGTCTCCTTTTTTGGAGGTCTTTAAGCAGAGGCTTGACAACCATATGTCAGGAGTGCTCTGATGGTGTTTCCTGCTTGGCAGGGGGTTGGACTCGATGGCCCTTGTGGTCTCTTCCAACTCTATGATTCTATGATTCTATGATTCTACCTCTTCCCAGTTCTGCCTCATGTTGGCGTGTGGTTAAATCATTTGTTTGCAGTTGCTAGGCAACCGTGGCATGCAATCCTCACCCATATCCAGGTCAACACAAACCTGTGTTTAAGTAACATACTAGAACAAATCTTTCTGTTTTCATGGCAAGTGCCTGAGGCCTGCTCAGCCTGGAGAGGAGTTGAACATCTTAGATTAAATATGGCGGTGCCATAGCACAGTGCTGAAGAATGTGTTCAATATTTACCCTGGGGGGGAGAGACCAAATAATCCATATGTTTAAGTTCCCTGGCAAGCACACTTAAAAATAAAAATGCTTTCCCGGGACAACCCCTTTTTCTCTTGTAACATTGAATTGGATGAAAGTAGAATTTTGTACATAAAAGTTATATGATAATACAGTGGTACCTCAGATTAAGTACTTAATTCGTTCCGGAGGTCCGTTCTTAACCTGAAACTGTTCTTAACCTGAAGCACCACTTTAGCTAATAGGGCCTCCTGCTGCCGCCGTGCCGCCGGAGCACGATTTCTGTTCTCATCCTGAAGCAAAGTTCTTAACCTAAAGCACTATTTCTGGGTTAGCGGAGTCTGTAACCTGAAGCGTATGTAACCTGAAGCGTATGTAACCTGAGGTACCACTGTATGCACATTTTCAAAACAGCAAAGTTCTCAAGATGATAGGAGACAAGAAGGCAGTAAGAAAAATCATGGGGTGAGTGGGGAGAATTGATTGAGTAGCATTTCCATGGTACAGCCAACTTCCATGACTTCTAGCCCCATTTCCTATTTTTCCTCAATACTGCATTTGCTATCATTGAATTGTAGAGTTGGAAGTGAACACAAGGGTCATCTAGCTAGCCCAACCCGCTCCAATGCAGAAATCTTTTGCCCACGTGGGGCTTGAGCCCATGCTCCTGAGATAATAATCATAATCACAATCACAATCATAACAATAGTTTATTATTTATACCCCACCCATCTGGCTGGCTTTCCCTTGCCACTCTGGGCAGCTTCCAGCAGAATATTAAAATACAATGATTCATCAAATGTTAAAAGCTTCCCTGAACAGGGCTGCCTTCAAATGTCTTCTAAAAGTCAGATAATTGTTTATTTCCTTGACATCTGATGGGAGGGCATTCCACAGGGCGGGTGCCACTACCAAGAAGGCCCTCTGTCTGGTTACCTGTAACCTTACATCTTGCAGTGAGGGAACTGCCAGGAGGCCCTTGGTGCTGGACCTCAGTGTCCAGGCTGGATGATGGGGGTGGAGACGCTCCTTCAGGTATACTGGGCCGAGGCCGTTTAGGGCTTTAAAGGTCAGCACCAACACTTTGAATTGTGCTTGGAAATGTACTGGGAGCCAATCAGCATTTTAGTGGTTATTAATATTAATATTAATATTATTATTAGCAGTAGTAGTACCTCACCGATCTGACTGGGTTGCCCCAAACATTCTGGGCAATGTAATAGATGATAGATAGATAGATAGATAGATAGATAGATAGATAGATAGATGATAGATGATAGATAGATGATAGATAGATGTAGATAGAGATGATAGATAGATGATAGATAGATAGATAGATAGATAGATAGATAGATAGATAGAGATAGACAGAGTGTGTGTGCAATTTTTCCTAACATGCACATTTTTGTAAAGCACATATCCCCATACATTAATCCCCCCCCCCAATTATATTTTTGTATGTTATTTCCCCCAAACATGTGCATTTTAAGGCATACTTTACCCTAGTACACATACTTTTGTACAAATTACTTGGCTGGAGAGTGGCGTCGCAAATTTGGGACACATGTGAATTGGAAAGGACGGCTGTGTTTTGGTTTGCATATTGTTTTGGAGTGTGAGAGTTGGGCTGATTCAACTTTAAAGGTGAACTGAATCTAATTTCTTCCCCATCACTAACTGGGAGAAGCCTGGAGTGCTGGTGGTGGTCTGTGTAGACCAGTGCTTCGCAAACTTGGGTCTCCCACTATTTTGGGACTACAATTCCCATCATCCCTGACCACTGGTCCTGTTTCCTTGGGACAATGGGAGCTGTAGTCCAAAAACAGCTGTAGACACAAGTTTTGGAAACACTGGTATAGACAATCCCAAACTAGATGAACCAATGGTCTGAGTGGTCAAAGGCAGCTTCCGGTGTTATTACTAAGAAGGTCACTTATGCGTTTAAAGACTTCCTTTCCTTGCCCTCTTCCCCTCAATCAGTTTGATGTGCCTGAATTCCATTAATGACAAACAAGAGCATTAAAGAAACGAAACACTGAAACCAGCAGGATCTTCAGGAACAATATTTGTTTAAAAAGCCTGCCAAACTCTGGAAGTTATGACAGTATGTGTTAAGTAAGAAAAAGCTGTAACCCAAACAGATAAGATTCTGGATAATTTCACTGGAAGGTGCAGAGTGTCCAAAACAGCTGTAAGAAGAAAAGCCACTTCAGTATGGTATTTAAAAAGGCAGATCTTCTCATTTTAATGTTTTGTTCTCATCAGGCCAGAGGAAGGAAGCAAGCTAGAGTGCCCCTTTCCCATACTATGAAAAATGTTACTATTGCCATATAGGGATGCCAAATTGATTCATCTTTTTTTTAAAGCAAATCTAACAAAAAAAATTAATATTTTTTTTAAAGCCACATTCTGCATTCTACGTGAAGGGGTTTTTGAAGTGTATTGGGCACATCTGTTCAGTGTACCTGAGTCCCATAAGCAACACTTTGCTGGAACACCTTACATTTGAATTCATATATGCATGTTTATGCAATAGGCGTAGATGAGGTTCAAAAGGTGGCATCCATCCTGCAGTCAGAATAGCTCAGTTGGTAGAGCTTGAGACTCTTAATCTCAGGGTTGCAGGTCTGAGCCCCACACTGAGTGAAAAAATCCTACATTGCAGGGGGTTGGACTAGATGACCCTCATGGTCCATTCAAACCCTACAATTCTATGATTCAATGCTACTTTTTTGTAGTGGCAGGGTGTTGTTGTTGTTTAGTCGTTTAGTCATGTCCGACACTTAATGACCCCATGGACCAGAGCACGCCAGGCACTCCTGTCTTCCACTGCCTCCTGCAGTTTGGTCAAACTCACGCTGGTAGCTTCAAGAACACCGTCCAACCATCTCGTCCTCTGTCGTCCCCTTCTCTTTGTGCCCTCCATCTTTCCCAACATCAGGGTCTTTTCCAGGGAGTCTTCTCTTCTCATGAGGTGGCCAAAGTATTGGAGCCTCAGCTTCAGGATCTGTTCTTCCAGTGACCACTCAGGGCTGATTTCCTTAAGAATGGATAGGTTTGATCTTCTTGCAGTCCATGGGACTCTCAAGAGTCTCCTCCAGCACCATAATTCAAAAGCATCAATTCTTCGGCAATCAGCCTTCTTTATGGTCCAGCTCTCACTTCCATACATCACTACTGGGAAAACCATAGCTTTAACTATACGGACCTTTGTTGGCAAGGTGAAGGGTCAGAAGTACAGGCATGTGAATGCACAAAAACACCAAGGCACTGTACAGCTTTTCAGGTATGTGTATCAACTATTGATAACTACCAGGAGGAGCTGGGTCTCTGCATAGCTTCCCTGCAGCTAGCTCAGTTGGTTAGAGCATGGTGCTGATGACACCAAGCTTGCAGGTTTGATCTCTGTACGGGACAGCGGCATATTCCTGCATCGCAGGGGGTTGGACCAGATGATCCTCAGGGTCCCTTCCAGCTCTATGAATCACTAAACTGCAGGTTCAAGTTCTGGACTGACTCCATCCACCCAGGCTGGCCATTGGACTTTCCTGGATAGGAAGAAGACTTCCTGTTCCAATTGAGCTTTGCTTGAGCAACAAGGCATACTCGAGCTCATGTAGGATTGGGCGATACATAGGATGTTGGATTTCAACTCCCATCAGCCCCAGCTAGCATGGCTGATGGTCAAGTTTGATGGGAACTGCAACCCAACAAAAGCTGGAGGGACGCAGGTCCCCATCACTGAATCTGGGGTTTTTTTTGGACCTGTCTCCTGGTTTGTCCTCCACTCCTGATTCCTGTCTTGCTTCTCAGCCTTGCTTCCTGGTTCAGACACATTCTTTAATCCTGACTATATGGACATGCTCATCCCAAGCTGCTGCCCACCACAGTCCAGCCCTAATGGTAGCGGATTGTGGAGAAATTATGTTTTTTCCCCTAGCATACCTGTAACCCCAAGGGCGAAACCATCCTGGGTTTTAAATGAGTGAATGGGAGGCTGCTGTAGAGTAAATGAATGCAACATACAACAGAAAGAGGTAAGTTTTTAGCTGGCAATAATGTGGGAAGAGAATCATTGGGCTAGGATCCTTAGTTTAAAAACAGGGATGTTGCATCTCTCTATTTTCATCTGGGAAATGTTACAGGGATATGATGCATTCATCCAGAGAAAAAGATGAAGCAGAAGTGAGATGTGATATATTTTTTCCTTGCCTTGTAGTTTTAGATTATAAAAAAGCCTATCGGCCTTTTGGAGTGCCATTCTATTGAAGGTAGTTTTAAAGAGGGAAGCCCTCCCTACTTAAACAACTGAGACATAACTTATTCCACACAGGACACACCCAACTGGCATGCAGAAACACGGGAGTAAGAAAAGCAATAATTATGGTTTGCGTTCAGCTTACCACCCGCAAATTTAGTTCTTTTTAGGCTTGATTTTTGTGTTGAAACCAGTCCTTCCTGTAATGGACAATGTAACTTTGGACATAGCATGGAATGCTATGAATGGATACAGGAAATAATTCCATCTCCATCATTTCTCTCCTCTCCTCCTCCCCCCCCACCCCAAATTTGCAAGTAAAACAAAGAATGGTACAGTTGGACTCTTCATATCTATTTGTTTTCTAATCAGCTTTGCATTCTGTTGTTAGTATTTTCATGACTGGGAATTAGGAATGGGGAGAGATTCCACTCAGTACACATTTAAAAGGGAACCTACAAAACTCACATTTTCAAAAACAGCACACAAACTGAAACATAGCCATATTTTGAAATTTGCACTTCTCCGAATTTTGCAATGCAGATTGCCAGCCAAGCAATTCATGCCAAAACATATATACCAGAGTTAAGTGTGCAAAAAATTTCCATAAATTAGAGAAAAATGCATGTTGAGGGAAATTCCTTTGCAAAAATGTGTATATTGTGGCAAAACTGCATGCAGAAATGTGTGTAATTGGAGAAATTCTCACTAAAATGAATTTTCATGTGGAAGTGTGGAAAACTGATCTGAAGACTGGAAAAAACGAGAAACTGTAGCCAGTGGAAATTGATAGAGTCACCCATCCCTATACGGAAAGGATGGATTTGAATGGATTCCAAGCAAAGGCAGTGGAAGACAGGAGTGCCTGGCATGCTCTGGTCCATGGGGTCACGAAGAGTCGGACACGACTAAACGACTAAACAACAACCACACCTCTGACCCTACCCACAATTGGCAGGTGGCTCTTAGAAAGTAGTCCTAAAGAGAATGTGGCCATCATTACTGCAAACAGGTTCTGCACCTCCTATTTAGAGGAATGAAAGTAGATTCATTCTACTTCTGAAAACTCTAAGCCTTCCCTTTAAACCGGGCAAAAAGAAGCTGGTGGTGCTGTTCCCCTAACTGCATTTCCATGCTAGAACGTTTAAACACACACACAAACAACCCAAAATGTTTTAATATCCCCCCATATGTTCCCCAAACCACTGTGTTTTCCAATGGTTTTAATGAAACAGGAAAATAAAACAGCACCAGGCTGAAATAATAACAGATCCTCCCCCATTTGATTTTGCACAATACAGTACAATTAAATACTTGGGGATTTTGCAGAGTTTGGGATATTTTGACTATGATGGCAGTGGTGAGAGGCAACCTGACTTTTAACTATGCCTCTCTGGTCCCATGACGCAGTAAAAGTGTTTTACTTCCGCTTGCCAAAGGGTGGGGGGAATTAATCAATCTCAGGAAACAAAGGGCAAGAAGGATTCATTCTGCATGGTTATTCATTCATATTTCCATTGAAACCCTAGCGCATTCCCAATGAAATGCTGACTTGCGTAAGCATGCATGCAATAATGCTAGGGACTATGCTGGGATACAGCAGGCATGTCGGTAGAGAACACGTCTGCTTAAAGAGCATTCGTTGCTCATTCCAGCCTGTAGTCAGCCTAATCTGGAGCTACACACTTGTAACACTGCGTAAAAACTTAATGATTATAGGTGGGTTTTGCTCAACAGCCTTTTAATACATACTTCACATTCTTTCGCTTTGTGGGGTTTTTATATATAATGCTCTTAGAACTTACAATACTGGAAGGAGAATGAAGCAATTGTAAATCTCATTTCACCCTCTGCCGCTTAAGAGCTCTTGTACGAACAATGCTAAGAATACTTGCTTAGAAGTCAATCCTACTGACGTCACACTTCAACACTCAACCTTCAAAGAATATGGAACAGGTAGGTGAGGCATGCTCACCTATATTTCATAGGTGATACACTGAGCCATACCTGGGCAGCTACTGCATTGCACTTAGCCAGAGATTTCAATATGAAAACACGTTTGCACGTTTCTTGTGCACTTTGTACGTTGGCCTGGTAAAAAGGAAGAGCTGTACACATGAGGCTGGTGCAGCTTGTCTCACCGTGGTGAGGAAACCATCATTCACACAAAATCCACCTGCTATGAAATCTGTAAAAATACTTGAACCCTATCCACTCCTTGGATTTTTCCATCAAATGCATACATAGTGAAATAGAAGCAGTATATCCAATTGTGGCTTTGCCTTAGGACAGCGTTTCCCAAACTTGGACCTCCAGGTGTTTTTGGACTACAATTCCCATCATTCCTGACCACTGGCGGAGGAAGAGGAGTGCGGGGGGAGCGCACCGCCCCTGGCAGCACGATCCCAGTGGGGTGCCATTGCAGCTGTCCCCTCACCCGTGCTGGACACCATGCCCCCTCAGGCGGCACGTCAAGCCCCCAGGATGTGCGTCACACCCCCAGGATGCACGCCAGCCCTGCCCCCGCCTGCTCTCCGCCCCCCCCGGTGCCAGATCATGAAGCTCCACCATTGTTCCTGACCACTGGTCTTGCTAGCTAGGGCTGGAAGCCCAAGTTTGGAAAACAATGCTTTAGTCATTTCCACTTCCACGAGTTAGAATGCCAAATTTTCACAGATACTCCATCTCTCATGTAGTTGTCCATACCATATTCCATATTCCAGAGGCAACTTCAAAACTCTGGAGCAGCTGTTGTAGGAGGCAAGGGGATCTGCAGAGGATCATTAAAAATCAGGTGGAAGTCATTTCCACAAAGGTAAAACCACTCAGGTGATTTGTCACAGTAAATTGGGCCCATGAAGGAATATCACATATGACATGCATTCTACAGTGGTGTGGTACCTCGGGTTACAGACGCTTCAGGTTACAGATGCTTCAGGTTACAGACTCCACTAACCCAGAAATAGTACCTCGGGTTAAGAACTTTACTTCAGGATAAGAACAGAAATCGTGCGGCGGCAGCCATTAGCTAAAGTTGTGCTTCAGGTTATGAACAGTTTCAGGTTAAGAACGGACCTCCAGAACAAATTAAGTTCTTAACCAGAGGTACCACTGTACATAAGTTCCTAGACAGATGGAAATGTATAGTTTAAGAAGTGTTTTTTGTTTTTGTTTTCCAATCACACAAGTTGCAATTTAACTCACAACCCCACAATTCTACTGAACAACTGTCCATTTCTTAAGCAATTCTAGACCCTCACGTTTGTCCAACCAGTTTGCCCAGTAAGAAGGTCTTGTGAGCTCTGAAGATGCATTATGATAAACTGAATGTGCATTATGCTTTTTAAAAAAAATCCTTATTCAACATCTTGTTTACTTTCACAAAGGAA